ACCATCAAGAGTGACATCGTACTCGAATCGGTTTGCAGCCTCGTGGCACCACTCTGTAAACTCGGGGACTGTCCACTCGCGCTTGTGGTCAGAGTGTCTAAAAACCCTATCTGTTTCGCCGGTTGGGTCGAGAAATCCCTTGCGGGCGACACCAGGTGGATGAAAGCGAGCGTTGAAAGTATAATTGGGGGTAGTGAGGATCAACAGACGAGGACGATATCGTCCCAAGAGTACGTGGGAAAAGGCAGGGAGGATAGATTTAGGAACATGTTCGATGCTAATGCTGCGTGAATACAACCAAACGCCAAAGACGGGTACACTTACACTTCAGTGGATACAATCGCGTCGAAACCACTAAACTCGGGGTTTATGACACCTAGGCTTCCCTCCCATACGCTTACCTCGAGAGGAGCCCAACGAATATACCATCCGTCTTCCCCTGAACCCCAGGGTGCAAGGTAATGTGGTTCACGGTCACTCGTAGCTGCATATACAGCATCCTCGATAACCTCCGGATCGACGTCAAGCGCCGCCACCCGCTGAAGGAACAGATCGTTGATTGGCGTGGAAAGATGGCTGTCTGGCACATCGCTCGGAACGCTTGAAGCAGGGCCACAGACAGCATGAAGGAGCGAGCCCTCGCCACACCCAATATCGAGAACCTAGCCACATTGCAGAACATAACCGCTATGATGGTGACTCAAACATACTGAGCGGACGCCATTGAGACGAAGTGTTTCCATGATCCATCGCTGGCGTTCGTCGGCCAGAGGCGGTATGAATCTTACTGGCAGATTTTCCGGAGAATGAACAGGATCTGGAGCACTCATCGTGGTCGAGAGGATTGTCACATTATCATTCGCCATTCATGTATCCAAACAACAAATAGAAGTCTAATAGAAAAAGATGGAAATTCTACAATCGAAAACGCCATCAGGAGAATTACGCCCGTTCCTTTAAGTACAAGGTAAGGTGCCGAACGAGCGATATCACAATAACCTGCAAGCCCTAGAGCCTGCAGTCAATCATCTCGTTGCTGACAGTCTCATCACGCAGCGTTTTTGATTGTGGAAGAATCAAATGGCAAAATTTTGATTCCGGGCATTTTTATTCTGCGGGGCAGTGCACAGCCACCAACATGCCGCCGGCTGCCAGGGTCATGATGAACCCATTCATTTATAAAACCATTCAGTGATCATTTCAACGTTATAATAATAAATGAGCAATGCAGGTAATCCAACATCCAGAATCTGCCTGCCAAAGTCTATAATGGCCCAAAAAAAGGGCTGGTTGGATCGAATAGATGATTAAGTTGAGGCTGAGGGTATACTGTATCAATAGACAACAGAGCAGTATAACATGACGCTCAATGGACGGGGAAGCAATGAAAAAGAAACATCTAAACTGAGTAGTGGGGAGTCTGGAAACGGGCGGCGTTATTACCGCAGTCGTGCTGAGGGGTTAAGACTCACTGGTTGTGGCCGCAAGTGCCTATCGTCTCGGGGGAGCCAGTGAACACATCATCAATGCCTGTGCCAGCTCTTGTTTCCACGCGACCCTCCGTACCGCCTCGGGGAAATCTACCCATTCGCGCCGCCGCTCCGATGCCTCGTCCCAGGTATCTGCTAGCGCAACCACGTCTAACTCAAAAAAGTGATAGTTGGCAGTCGCGCCGGGTATGGTGGTGACTGAGCGTGTGACTTTGCCTTGTATGCCAGCTAAAGGTGGAAAAGGCAGGGAGAGAGTAAGAAGGCGAAGAACGCGGACGCAGAGCGCGAGAGCGGGTGACCTTCTTCAAACGCCTCGCGACATGCAGCAGCCTCCAAGCTTGGGTCAGTGGTCTCCCATCCGCCCTTGGGCACTGCAGGGCGAAGGGTGAGCGGTGGAGCTAGTTGCTGGCACAAGCTACTCACAAACCCATTGGTGCGGTCGTTTTCGGCTGGTGACGAGTAGGACTTTTCCGGCGGCACGTGCGATGGGAATCGCGCAACAAACAGTCCGTGGACGTGCGGCATCTGCTCGACCCATTTTCAAGATCTCTGGACAAAAATAAACGTTGCAACGTTAGCCGGGCTGGGAAAACAGGTGGGTCAAACACACACTCCAAGCTGTAGTCCAAGGGCTGTCGGATACGTAAGCAACGCAAGTGAGCGACTGTGGCGGGTCTTGCGAGAAGATCGGGTACTGAAATAGGTGGTAAAGGCTGAAGGAGTACGAGGCAGTAGGGCAAACGAGGGAGAATTGGGAAATTTTAATAGGTTAGATGGGTGGAGATGTTGGAGAAAGCATGGCCAAGGTCAGGTCAAACCAGGATTATTTTCTACGACCGTGGCACAAGGAGCCGGACAAACTCGCACGTGCGTGAGCCAAGCAACAGCACAGCATTGTAAAGGCAAATTCGTCATGGCTCGGCGCATACAGTGCCGTTTAAGAGTGTTGTCCAGAGCTAGCTGGCATACCCTATGTTTTCCGTCTACGTAATACGAGAAACTATTGTATTCGATTCGCATGACTCGGATATGGACAAAGCAGCGGAACATCTACTGCGCTGTATGCGCGAACTTGTATTGGGAGATACTAGCTCCGTTGTTGCTAGCAACAGACCGAAATGTCATCAATACGCCGGACAACATCTTGTGACGGCGTTGGTGTATGCCGCAGCAAGAAAAATTCTAGATGGTTCAGGAACACTGAATGAACCCTGGCGCTTTTCGATGTCTGTAATGTCAAAAATAAAACCGCCCCGTGCTAGAAAACAGAAGGTCAAGCACGGAGAGCGGCACAGAATAAAGTATAGCACACAGTCATCCCAGTGTGAGTATCATGATACCTGTGTACTAGTCCTGCCCTAAAGTAAGCGATCACGTGTATCGCATACACCCTCGTTCGGTCTGAATTTGTGTCTACACCACGATGAATGTAACTTGAGTCAGAGATGGGGTATTCAAAGTGTAGTACAGTACAATATATTTATGCCAGAAAAAATGCAGGCACTAGAAATAGTCGTGATAGTTGTGGCATGAGCATCTTCTTGACGGGTCTGTTTATTAATTCAGTCAGTGCCAGTTGAGCTGTATGCTGTTCCGACAGTGGCTGTAAGGTTCTGAAGATTTTTGCGATACCAAAGAATATATGTGTCAATTTTCTTAATAGTATGCCAATCTGATTCGGTCGGATTGAGGTTAGGAAAATTTGGTGGGTGTGTAAGCGATTCATACCAAGCTCATCCTTAACTTCTTAGGCTATGTTTCCTGTATGTGATGGGGCTCAGTCCTCCATCACGAGCACCACACGGGATTGTTCATTATATGGCTGCAGCTAAAATGTTTGTAAGGGCTCTGATATAACTTGGCCTGCTTATCCTTTTGCGCGGAGACTTCTGGCTTGCTTCTGTCTGATTGTTGTTGTGATCGATTCTGACGTTTCAAGGTAAGCGATCGGTACTTTTACGACATTGTCATATCGCCTCAGTTTCTTCATTTGTCTCTTTCAATGTCACAGCTGAATACAGAAAACTCAAGGAGATAGGCCCAAGAAGTTTGCAAACGGACTGTGAAGAAGATGCTCATGCCACAACTATCACGACTATTTCTAGTGCCTGCATTTTTTCTGGCATAAATATATTGTACTGTACTACACTTTGAATACCCCATCTCTGACTCAAGTTACATTCATCGTGGTGTAGACACAAATTCAGACCGAACGAGGGTGTATGCGATACACGTGATCGCTTACTTTAGGGCAGGACTAGTACTGTAGGCGCAAGAGTGGAATGTCGCTTACATAAAAGCGACGTGCGCCTATTACTGCTTGGGCTTGTCTGGTAATGATGTCCGGCTGCGTCGGCCGCCTTGGGACGCAGGACAAGGAGCGTCGTTAGCTGTGTCGCTTCCCAGGGTGTGCGACCGTGCACCTGACGATATTATCCCGAGCAGTTGATTAGCCCAACAGAATAACAACTTCAGGTATATGGTCTAAGTTTAGAGCCTTTTATTCCAAACTATCGTCACATGTATCCTGATATATATATCCCGACCCAACATCATCTTTGTAAAGTTGGTGCTGGTTGAATGTGAAACTGGCAGCATATACATAACTATACTCACGGATATAAAGCAGCGTCTCCTTGACAAAGTGAATTAAGAAGCTGAGTTCGTCATATACGCCCCAATCATGATCACACAGACTGCACAAAATGCCTCGCGGTCGTCAGTAATTTGAATAGACGTGACGTCGACGACGACAAAAGCGAGGACCTGGTGGATCTATCTGTCTCTCCTGTAGTTTTAAAAAGCACACGAAGGCCTAGACACCCTTCGTCCTGGCATCCTGGTTCGGAATGGGTTATTGAATTTCCTTTTTTAACGATATCTTTGTATTTATTTTTGTCTCATTACATACTTCTATACAAGGAAGGCGTTGTCCTACCACGTCGTGGCTCACTTGGACGTGGGACGTTGGAAATTCCGAACATCGCGTCGGCCTGACTGTGGACCGTGACCGACGTTCCACTCTTGCGCCTATAGTACTGTAGCAGCAAGAGAAGAACGTCGCTTATGTAAAAGCGACGGGCGCCTAAAACCGACTGCACTTTTTTGGTACCTGTGTCCCACTGCGTCGACAGGGGATGGGTCGTGGGGCACTCAACCGTAAAATGGCGCAGGATCGGCTCACTTTTCTTCTAAATCATAAAATAGGGCATCTGATGCCCTATATTAGGGATAATATAAGTAAAAGTTGTACTTTCATTGTTTACTGACCACCTATCGTCGTGGCAAATGAGGCTATAAGTAACAACAAACAATGTCCCCCTCGCGTCGAACAACGCCAGGACATGGGTCATTGGAAATGATTTACGTCGCGTCGATCCCAACTGGGATCGGGACCGACGTTCTTCTCTTGCCGCTACAGTACCACATATCAGGTGACTTATTACTTGGCCTCTCTGGTGCGTCTCCGACGGCTTTCCGCCGCTCCTGGTGCGTTTTCCAAAGCAAAAAAGGGACAGGCGTGGATCGAACACGCGGCCTATCGATGCTTATGTAATTATTGCGTAATTCAACCTACGCAGAAAGCTGCAATCGATTGCTCAACCACTGAGCTTCTATCCCTTGGGTAGCGGCCTCTAGTACCAAGTATGATCCTATAAACAAGCCAAGTACTATCCGCTCTGGCTTGACCTCCAAGCGCATCTTCTAGCCTCAGGAGGCTGTTATTCGTACTATCAAGGTGCCTAGGAAGCGCTGCGGCGGCACATATGTTGTCACGTGACGAGATTACCGTAGCGCTCGGCTTCTCCTCCTCTCCGCCACCATGTCCACCGAAAACGAGAAACCTGTTGCGCCGCTCAAGCCCGCACGAAAGCAAGTCAAGCCCGGAGAAATAGAGCGAAAAGAGACACCCCAAACAGGAAAAGAATACAGTAAGTGGTCCATGCTATCAATCGACACTGACCAACTCGCACGTTAGACATCTGGTACAACAAGTGGGCTGGAGGAGACCGAGAGGACAGCTATTCCAAGTGCGTACCACTCTGCTAGAACGGACAAATTGCTAACATCATGATAGCAAAGTAAAGTCCCAAACGAGATGCAACATCAAACGAGATGCTGGTTACACGCGAGCAAACACGACAGGTGTTAAATACTGTTGCCTATTCTTTGCCCGAGGGTGCTGTCCTTATGGGTAGGTCTTGTCTCTGGCGCTAGATTCCCGCTAACGTACTTGCAGCTATGAGTGTGAATATCTACACAACTTGCCACTGCCTGCCGCCTCCATGGAGGATTCATCCAAAGACTGCTTTGCCCGAGACAAGTTCTCAGACTACCGAGACGACATGGGCGGCGTGGGCTCATTCAATCGCCAAAACCGAACGCTATACATTGGGAGGATCAAAGAGACGGGTCCCGGGAGCGAGACAGAGGAAATCGTGAGGCGACATTTCAAGATGTGGGGAGAGATTGTATTCCGTACGTGCTGTCCAGCTTTTACAGCAAGCCACGCTGACCTGGGTCCAGTGCGGGTACTCCAGTATCGTAGTGTCGCATTCGTAACCTATGCAGACGAGGCAAACGCCCAATTCGCCAAGGAAGCAATGGCTTGTCAAAGTCTGGACAATGACGAGATCCTCAACGTTCGGTACGTTGTATTGACATTGTCTAGACAGACATTCTGACTCGACTCACAGATGGGCCACTGAGGATCCTAACCCGACCTCCAAGGTTGCGGAAAAACGTCGTCTGGAAGAAATAGGAAGCGTCGCGATTGCAAACAAACTCGACCCACGGATGGTTGATGCCGTTCGCCACATTCGAGCACTCGAGGACGAAGAAGCCGTGCCCGAGCCCGCCTCTCCGCCAGAAAAACGTCAACGCTTGATCGAGGCGGAACCAGAACCCGAGGAACAACCAGAAGAGGCACAGACTGGGTTGTTGAGCGCGCAAACATTAGAAGGCCTCAAATATATTGCCGAAATGCGACGGCGACAGGAGGCAGTCAAGTCCAAGGTTGCAGCCGCTCCAAGGCCAGCCCCAGCTGGTTTGGGTGGCCTAGGAGGCTACGCAAGCGACGAAGACTAAAATTATTACACCTTTGTAGACCTATTCTGTAATGCGATCGTGAGCACTCTGGCTGGCTACCTGAAATCGTCGAGACAACACTGGGTCCTGAGTGATGCGAATGAGATAAGGAATAAAGGCTCTGCATATGCTGCTGCAGTGCAATATTGTTTACACCCTCGTGCTGGCCAACTGGACCCATAAGCAGTTGACTAGACGTATATTGATGGTCAAGTCTGTCATCTTACGTTCAGGGGCACTGAATGCCATACAGCGCCACTCCGTGTCAGCCGAACAATTATGGTCATGGGATTGCTTGGCAAAAGAGCGGTGTATATTGAGCGCTACGAATAGCAAAGCGGCCGTGTCAGTGCGCAAATTGGCACCGCCGAACACGCTAGCGTTAGGTACCAATGACTGCCACACCGCCACTCTCTTGTTTCAAAAAGCCTCGGTGAAGAAACGCTGCGCTGTGCCCTTCCCCATCCCCAGCCATGATATTCACTTCGTTGTTTGCTGCTACACTTTGGGCAACATCTCTGGCCGCTCCGACACAATCTGGCTCGAACGTTGGGAGTCTGGTCCAACGCGATGCGGACCTGGACTCGCTGCTCCTCATCATCAAGGCACAGGACGATGTCAATGACCCAGACGATTTGACCGTATCTTCATGTCTTATCAACAACGGTAAAAACACGCTCAAAATTCTCAACGATCCGAATGGTGAGTCGAGACGCGTCAACTCGGCCAGCGCTAAACGCTACCTTCAGGCCCACTGACCACGTGGAAGACGCATACATTCGAGTTTTACGAGGTCGCTAGCTCAGGCACGGGCCTCAAAGCAAGGTCTGGTGGAAATGCTGCCCATGTCAGTGCCGTTCGGGTAAAGGTGAGCTTGGATTTTGCTCCAGCTTGGTCGCCTGCTCATAATACTGTTCAGTATAACCCAGAAGTCGTGGCCGCTCTCGCGGACCCGAGCACCTACACGGTTCTTCAGCCTGGAGAAAACAAGACGGTAACCCATGATCGTGCGTTGGTCCATGTGCCTTTATTGTTCCTTTGCTCATTTTCTCTAGTCTCGGGCATGTACTCTTTCCAAACCTCGGGATCTTACGCTGTCAAAACAACGACCAACGCCGAAAACTTTCGTATAATCAAGGAGGACGGCAGTATAGGCATTATCCAAGCAAAACTGTATGATGGTGCCGAGGCTGCCAACTGGACAGCAGTAAACGTTGCCGAGTCAGGAACCTATGCATCCTTGCGAGGTCTTGCCAGTGCTGGAATCCCGACTCATCTCACGCGCCGCTGGGAAGAGGAAAACTCGCTGACCAAACGCCAGACATTCCGAAACTGCAGTGCGTCTCAGCAGAAATATATCGCAGAGGGTGTTGTGGGTGCAAACGCATACATTGCCGAAGTCAACAAATACCTTGCCACCACGTACTACCTCGGTAATAAGCGATACAGGACTTGGTTCGGACCTTATGAAAAGAAACGTTGGAACCAAGTCAAGTCGCATTACCTTGCGCTCCGAAACCAGCCCGCTCGCTTCCGTTATGATTGCTCGTGCCAAGAAGTAGACACGTTTGCCTATGTTTACCCTGACCAGTTTGGTACGATATATCTTTGCGGAGCATTCTGGAAGGCTCCAGTAAAGGGCACCGACTCCAAAGCTGGAACCATCATTCACGAGGCTACACACTTTACGAAACTCATTGGCACCGACGACTATGCCTACGGTCACACTGACGCAATGGCTCTTGCAAAGAGCAATCCCGCTCAAGCAATAATGAATGCCGAGTAAGTCACACCCACCCTGATCTCCATCCTCCAAGCTGACTTGTTCTAGCTCCCACGAATACTTTGCGGAAAACACGCCATTTATTGCTTAAATCATGACTGATCCCCTTTACTGGTCACCTGGACTTTCATACCCCGCAATGACTTTTACTCTTGGGCACTTGGCTTATTTATCCTGTACACTCGTATAACTGGGGACAATTTATGTGGCAACGTCGTTTATTCATAGCATGTCGTTCATGTATTTAAGCGAATTCGAAGTATCACCGAAGTATGCAAAGAGAGAAAATGTTGCCAAAGGAAAAGAAGCGCGGTGGGGGTATCCATGTACAGAGAGAAATAAAAAGAAACAGATGCAGTATTTAAAAGTACAGTACTCGTATATGTCGCCTCTCCCAGTTATCTAAGCGTATGGCGTCGGCAAGCCCCCGGCCAGAACTCGAGCGTTTTCGCGCTCCGCATCTTGCTGTTGTTTGAGTAGCATTTCTTGATGGCGCCTGAGTTCTTGGTTCGCCTTGGAATCCCCCGAGTTGGAACTAGACCGGGTTGTGTTACTCGCTCCAAGCGCAGCTGCATAGCCTGATGGTACAGGTTGGGGAGGGACGTGTTGAATGTGATGCATATGCGGCATGGCCTGCTGGGGCACGGGAGGAGGCGTGGACTCGGTTGGTCTGCGCTTGTACGGGCGTTTGGAACTGGCGGCCGCGGCACTACCGGGAGCGGGAGGAGGTGGTAGCTGTTCTTCCTGCTTGCGCTTTGACCCCGAGGTAGAGCCGGGAGACAGGGGCGTAGATGGCGGAGGTTGCGCGTGTGGATGCGCTGGCGGCCCTTGGATGTGGGCAGGCATGTGGGTCGGCGGCGAGCGAAGCGCAGGGCTAGCCAGTGGTTTGCGATCAGCAGAGGCATGGTAGCCGAGATCGGGTGAATATTCTTCGGGCATCGCGCATTGGATTCCTCGCCGCAAACACTCTTCGCAGCCTAGATTTTCTTGATGGCTGGGTCTGCAGGTAATATGGTTGTCTAATCGCCAGTCAGGTCAATCAAACGGGAGCGAGCAGAGAAGAGAACTCACTGTAGCAATATAGGCAACCGCGTCGAGATCCAGTGGGTGTAACTACCCCATTTAGCTTGTCACTATTTCGCGGCTTGGAATGGCGTCCAGGAGGCGGTGAGTTATACGGCGGAAGATCTGGGCTTGGCGCTGCCTCGTATACTGGGGGTCCACGCGTAGAGTGCGATGGTCGCGTGTGATGTTTATCGGGAACCGATCCCGGAGGTGACATGCCGTTGTGCTGAGCCGGCTGACCAGCGGCCCCACGTGGAGGTGCGCCTGCTCCTTTGCGGCCAACTTTCCAGATTTGCACCACCAAGACGCAATCCGACATATCACGAAGCTGGGTAAATTTGAGCGTGTTCAGGCCTTCTCTGATCTCGCTTGTGATGTCGATTGTTTGGTTGAGTTTGCCCTGTTCAAAGAAGGATAATGAGTGACCATATGCACCGGAGCGTCACGCCGGCTTACGTTCGGCGGCGGAGCCATGTGGTGGGAGCTGGGAGGCTCGTCACCGGAAGTTATAGAATACACGCCAGCTTTGGGAAGCCAGTCCGTGGCCACTCCGAGTGTAACCCTATCGGAGGAAGACGATTCAGGGGATTCTTCCGATAACAGTTGAGATGGAAGCGAAGGTCATCCTCTACCGATCTATTCAAGCAATGTTATTGCCACACGATCAATGGCGTGACGTGATGCG